GTCCTCTTTTGGAAGACCAAACAAAGTAGTTTCGCTTTCATAACGAAACACACGGCGGGCTAGAGTGAGCGGAGGCCGGTGGGCTCGAGAACGGCGCGGCCGGCTGATTCGATGAAGGAGCGTCCGGCGGGCTTGCGGCAACCACATGTGACGACACCGGCGCTGGACTCCGCTTCGTCCACGGTGAAAGCTGGGATCAGCACGGATCAGCTCCAGGCATGATGAAGCAGATATCGTCCTCTTTTGGAAGACCAAACAAAGTAGTTTCACTTTCACAACGAAGCACACAGCGTCTTCACGACATGGCTGCAGCGTCAACAACAATACTACAGCAAGAATAAAAGTTACGCCTTCTTTCTTTGCGTGAACATTTAGGCAGCATTATGCAAATCTTCCCACATAGTGAGGTAGATATGTGGGGGCGTGTTAGAACGAGCCGTTTTAGGTAGGCGTGGTTAACTTAACTTTTATAAAGAATATCTCTTTGGATTTGAGACTTTAGTCTTTGCAACTTTACAGATCTTCTTTATGCACCAAGAGCTTGTAACACTCCAAAGAGAAAGGAAAAATTGATTTTTATTTGATAGAAAAAAATCTAAACAACTGAACCATGTTTTCATTTATTAGACATCCTAAAGAATATTAAGGCTCAGAAAATTGTACAATTAAAAAAAAAAAAAAAGTAAAAAGATCAATTGGGCTATCAAAAATTAAGTTAGTGTGCTACAATAAAAATATATATATAATTCAAATTTTACAAAATATTATACCTCATCAATCATCACTTATTTACAATGTTAATATGCCCCAAAAGAACACAAATCTCATCCGAGATAATGTTTAAATAAGAGTGGTTTACATATGACGTTAATTCACATTAAGAGATCATTTACTCTTTTCCACTTACATGCTAAGAAATTAGAAAATACTGAATATTTTTTTAAATGCTTACTGATATACAAAAGAGTGCAAGTTCCCTCCCCCCCATAATTAACAGTTATCTCTTAGTAGTTCTAAACCAAACAGATGCGAGGACCTGAAGGATACAAAAAGACATTCAAAAAGCCTCAGACTGCATAGAAACGGCAAACATTTTACATCATGAAGAACCAGGAAGTGCTCACATATAAAAGCATTATTTAAAAAAAAAACAATAATAGTAATAAAAACTAATTCATGATGAGCCCCTAAAAATACAATTGCTTGATTGTGTCTGAGATAGAAGCAACAGCTTGGTCACTTGGTTTCCCTTTTACCTTGTGTTGAACTATGTGTTAAACAGCGGCAATGCATTGTGGGATGCGTGGAACAATTACATGCTAGGGGAACTCCACAGTTGCCAAAAGAATCCATACTATCACACAGACACGCTCAGGCATACAAACTTGGCTATTGTGACTGAAGTTCAGTTGTTTTCAAAAGCGGGCTCCAGCTTTCATTGACTCCCAGCTACACAAACGCCACGTAGTTCTCCGGAATTAACCCTGTCTTCCCGTCCAAGGTGCCCTCCAGCCAGCCTGGTTCTCTTGACGGATGAACTAAGAGACAGATGCAAACGGAAGATAATTTTAGATGCCACTGACAACTTTATCCCATTTATTCTCTATTTCCACAGTGCGAAAGGAATAAGGACTGTTCCAAATTCAAGTTAGACCAAAAATAACAACCTGATTTCATGGCAATTCGTACATATTTTACGAGGTGGCTAATTTCACGAATTTGTAAGATTTTTGCTAAATCGTGTGTATTTTATGAGTTCCCCAATTCGTATGAATGACCTACCCCTAACCCTAAACCTAACCGTCACTGGGGTCTAGACAAATCGTACGAGTGAGGTCGTACAAATTCGTATGAATTAGCCACCTCGTAAAATACATGCGAATTGGTCGAGAGATAGCATTGAAAATTATCAAGTTGACTGTATCTCTCAAAGGCCTAACAAATAATCTTTCGAAGCATTTTGAAACCTCTATTTAATAGGGCTGGGTATTGACACAAATTGCACGATTCGGTTTAGATTCACAAGCTTGTGATTCAATTCGATATCAGTTATTTTGGATGCATCAGGTACAGTCCATGGCAAATTTTCTCAAGGAAAAAAAAATCTCAGATAATGCTGTAAAATATACATGAGGGTTAGTTGGTGCTGCATTACACGAAGGTTGAAATGAACTGATTTGTATACAAACACTTCAGTTACACTGAAGTTTTTATAATAATAATATTATAATACCAACTTTACAATTACATAGGCTAAATTCATTTTTTGAAATATAAACATTTAAATGGTGGCTGTCATCAAAACATGTAATGAATATGTTATATGGTGCATATGTTTAGCAAAATGCTCCTCAGTAGAGTTCATTTTTCTAGCTGACTAACGAGTTTATGGTCACCGAATATGTGATTTACGTGATCTTTCTGAGGTTGAAACACTGATTGAGTGATTCTATGAGAAGGCATATGGATTTCGGTAAGTTGTACTCTTTCTTTTAACACACCTTCCAATGTTTATTTATGTTTATTTTGTGCTGTAACTGGTATTAAAGCGGAGGAGATGATCAGTTCATGTGCGCTTTGCACTGCCGCTTCTCTTGAACTGAGGCGTTACAGTGATCTGCTTATTACACGGCTGCTTGCCATAAAAGTAAATAATTAGACATGAAACCTTGATCAGCGGCAGCGGAGTGATACATTAAGCATACACTCTTAAAAATACTGGGTTAAATACAACCCAGTGCTGGGTAAAATAGGGACAAACCCAGCAATTGGGCTGTTTGCTGGGTTGCTGTTTTGCAATTGCTGGGTTTGTCCCTATTTTACCCAGCACTGGGTTGTATTTAACCCAGGTTGTTATATCTAGCCCAGCATTTTTTAGAGTGTAGTAACCGGATGAGCCTGTGTTATTAGCTTTACCGGTTGTTATCGGGGAATAACACACTCAAGAATGTTGTGATTGACCAATCAGAATCAAGTATTTCAGAGAGCTGTGTAATAATCCACATTAAACAGCGCCAAAATGGTATTTATTGTTTAAATATTGTAATAAAATGGACAGAATTTGAAATCTGAGACTTTGTTTCACATCAAAATGAACAAAGTGGTAAGCTTATTGCAATTTATTGTATTGGATCCCAATCGATTCTTGGGATTTGAGAATCAATATAGTTTCGTAAAAATGAAAATCGATTAAAACCAAGAAATCACTTCTTTTTTTTTTTTTTTTACCCAGCCCTATTTACTCTTGCAGTAGAGCGGCTGTGAACACGCCTTAGGTTTCATTAAACAGTAATCTGATCTACTGCTAAGCTGTGTCAAGTTTTCAGACTGCGGCAGATTGGAGCTCTGATACCTGTTAAGGGGCAAAAGGTGGAACAAAGCAGAGATATCAGTTTGCTCCTCTTATGCGGACGCTAAAGCCTCTAACCTGCTTAGCTAACCAGATATATGCAATACACCCACTGAGGGCTAAAAATGGAGACCCCCCTTGCTGGGGACTTACCATTCTCGAATATGGTGCCTGCGATAAAGGACAGCTCAGAGTCATGTTCAGCCTTGCAGGCATATAGCGCACGTGCCTTTCGTAGCGGAGGACTGGAGAAGATACAAATATATATACACATCAATCTTTTAAAATTGAAAATACTGACTAATATTAATATTTGATACTGTTTTGTCTAAAAAAAAAATTATAATAATAAAGTACTAAATAAAACATCAGTCATTTTAAATGCTACAAGTGAATTATGAAACAAAATAATCATGTACAGTAAGAAAAAATGGGTATTCTTAATGGATGGATATTATTACATTATTAAATTATTAGTGTTTTTGAAGATTACATTTAAGTGAGTGCTAGAAGACAGAAAAGGTAATCTACACATAAAAATAAGGGCTTTTAGCATTCGTAATTAAATATACAATAACAACTGATACTGATAAATAAATAAAAATATCTAATATCAGCTAATGACCATTATGGTACAGATATATTGTGCATTCCTAGTATGTATATACAGTGGGGAAAAAAGTATTTAGTCAGCCACCAGTTGTGCAAGTTCTCCCAGTTAAAAAGATGAGAGAGTAATTTTCATCATAGGTATACCTCAACTATGAGAGACAAAATGAGAAAAAAAAATCCAGAAAATCACATTGTAGGATTTTTAAAGAATTTATTTGCAAATTATGGTGGTGAATAACGTTTAAATAAGACTGACAAAAAAGTACCAGAATGTACAATAGTATTCTCCATTAGATACCATAGTGTACATTAATATACCATAGTATCACCACAGTAGTATAAGGATTAAGAAAAATATGGACTTTATTTTACAGTCCTGTTCCACGTGTACTTCTTAGGTAAGTACACTGTATGTACACATACTGTAAAATAAAGTGCAACCAAAATTTGATTGGTGTACATATATTTATTCGGATCATTAAACATGAAATACATCATCATACACAGGGGCGGACTTAACATTTAAGTGAGGTAAGTGGCCGCTTAGGGCCCCCGGGAAATCAGGGGGCCCCCTCTGATATTGGCGAAGCATATTTGCAGCGTTGAGCAATGTAGCCAATCACAGACATATACGTTAACTTCTTGAACGCAATGACCAGAAGTGTTTAAGTTGGAATCCACTCACCGTGCAAAATGCAAAATGTCAAGTGCTGAGTTCTGAAAGCTCGGGAATCCTCTCTTTATAGCAAAGTGTAGATACGATGTAAATGATGACTGGAGATGTTTGCTTACTAACAGATTACATTTTTTTTTTTTTTCATTTGTTTCTCGGCAAACGCTACTGTATGCCTTCAGAGCACTTGGAATATGGAACGATTTGCATGGGATAAATTTGTGTTTGTAAAAAGATTGAAAAAGCTTACAATTTATTAAATGGATAAGTGCAAGCATTTTGTTTTTTGGGATAATGTCTTTTTTTGTGATCCGAATTTTTTTTTAGGTAGCCTAATATAGCTTTAGCACAGCATCAGGTTGACTAATTACTGGTTGCGAAGGGATAAATAAACTATAAACTATGAGAGCGAGCGAGCAAAACAAGGGTTAAGCCCCGTTCACACCAAGAACGATAACTATAGAGATAACGATATTAGCATCCACACCAGCGAACGATATAATCTGTAAACGCACGCTCCTCTGCCGCTTTAAATTATCAAGCTCATTATAGCAGGATGGATTCTGATTGGCTGTCAATGTTTTTTTTATCATTCATCAGCTGAAAAAAATCGTTCTGAAAGTGATTTCAACGATATCGTTTCTCTGTGCCTTTATCGTTATAGCTGTGGTGTAGACTCTGCTATTCTTTAATATTGAAAAGGATTTTTAGAACTATATCTTTATCGTTATCTTTATAGTTATTGGGGCTTTAGGTGTAAAAGAGCACATAGTTATTGTGTTAGGGCCCCATACCTGGAATTTGCTTAGGGCCCCCAACAGGTCCGCCCCTGATTATAACATACAGTTTATGACAGAAATGACACTTCCCATAAAGAACGGTATATTACTACCCGCAGTGAATCAGAGTGATGAAGTTGATGTATATGCTCAGGTGTGAATGTGCAAAGCTGAAGTTTAACACCGAACGATTAGAATACTGCACTGCTATAGATAGCTGCCTAAGCAGGCCAGAGCAGGACACACACCTGACGGGGGAGGATTCGCTGGAGGTGCTGGAGGCCAGCCGGGGGCTGGAGGGGGCAGAGAACATCGGCCACGAGGGGGAGCGCGGTGAGGTGGGACTGGGTGAAGCCGGGCTGCGACAAACACACACACGCAAGCACGCACTATGTGATCCCAACACCAAAATTTATGTTACGGCAGCTGCTGAGCTGCAGCTTTCACAAGAGACGTCAAGAGGGAGTTGCATCATCGGTTTAAAGAAATAGACATAAATGCAGTTGAACATGCTTGAGACTTTCATGCTAACAGGAAAAGTTCAGCCAAAAATGACCATTCTGTCATAATTTACACAACTCGTGTGTGAATGTTCATGTCAAGCTCCTGAAATGACAGCCATTGGTCACTGTACATATGTTGCATGTGAAATACTGTAGCAGTGTGAATATTTGCCTAAGCATCTATTTTTGTCTTCCACTGGAGAATGAAAGTTCACTGGTTTGGTGAGTAAATGATGACTGATTTGTCATATTTAGCGGAACGGAGTTAAACATGCTGAGGAAAATCATAAGTCATAATTTGTGTTACTCATGTAACATGAGTAATCTCACATTAATCTGACAGGGTTTGTATTTATGTAAACTCTCCCCCCCCGCCTCCCCCTTCAAAAGTGTCTATGAAAACATCAATGCTGGCTGTTAAACTGAAAACTGGACAAACTTACCTTGTCGACATGCTGCTGCGAACTTTTGGATTTTGACTGTAAATAATAGAAACAATATTAACAGGTTAAACAATTTTTTTTGTCTCAGCTTAACATTCATGAATATGCAAAAAAAGAGATGAACTAAACTATTGAATTATTATTTAATAATAATAATAATAGTAGTAGGGCTGTCAAACGATTAATTGCGATTAATCGCATCCAAAATAAATTTTTATTCACATAATATATGTGTGTGTACTGTGTATATTTATTATGTATATATAAATACACACACACATGTATTTATATATTTAAGAAAAATGGTATGATTATATATTAAATATATTTATATATACTATATATATTGTATGAATATAAATATATACATGTAAATGTTCTCAAAATATATAGTGTATGTGTGTGTATTTATATATACATAATGTACACAGTACACGCATATATTATGTACACAAAAATTTTAATTTTGGACATTAATTAAATAAATTTAATTTGGATCAATTAATTGTTTGACAGCACTAAATAATAGTATATATCAATAGGATCTCCTAACTTTTTACGTGTGTGTGTGTGTATAAAAGTTAGGAGAACCTATTGAATTCTAAGGTTTTCTGTATCAGGACAAAATCAGGTCAGGTCTTTTTTTATAATTTGGAAAGTAAAACCTCAGATGAACAACATCACATGACATAATGCACCTTGTTCTTATTTATTTAACTAAAATAAAGCCAAGATGGAAAACCCATGTGTGACAAAATTAGTACACCCTATAATTCAATTGCCTGTAGATCCACTTTTAGCAGCAATAACTTGAAATAATCATTTTCTGCATGACTTTATCAGTCAATCACATTGTTCTGCAGGAATTTTGTCCCACTCTTCTTTACAGCGTTGCTCTAGTTTATTGAGGTTTGTGGGCATTTGTTTGTGCACAGTATCTGAGTCTGGATGAGCTCTGGACTTTGCTATATTTCAACACCTTGATTTCTATTGTAGATTTGCTGAGGTGCTTGGGATCATTGTCCTGTTGCAAGACCCAATTTTGGCCCAACTTAAGCCGTTGGACGGATGACCTCACATTTGACTCTAGAATACTTTGGTGTACAGAGGAGTTCACGGTCGACTCAATGACTCTGAGGTGTCCAGATCCTGTGGCTACAAAACAAGCCCAAAATCATCAGCCCTCCACCAGCACTTGGTTTTCACCAAACATGGCGCTGTGCTTTATGGCCAAACACCTCCACTTTGGTCTCGTCTGTTCAAAGGGCATTGTTCTAGACATCTTATGGTTTGTTCAGATGCAACTGAACTATTCTATTTAAGATAGAAGAGTTTTTCCTCTGGCAAGCCTTCCAAGCATGCCATACTTGTCCCATATGTCTTCTAATTTACTGTCATGAACTTTATAACTGAACATGTTAACTGAGGCCTGTAGAGTCTGCGGTGAAGTTCTTGGGTTGTCTGCCATTTCTCTGAGCGTTACACGGTCTGATCTTGGGGTGAATTTCCTGGGATGTCCACGTCTGGGAGGATTGCTGTCTGTTTTGAATGTCTTCCACTTGTGAATAAACTACCTCACTGTAGAATGATGTACTTCAGATTGTTTAGAAATGGCCGTATTACTCTTCCCAGATTGATGGCGACAATTCCTTCTCTAAGATCATTGCTGATGCCTTTCTTCCTTTTCTTCCTTACAGTTGTGTTAACACACACTTGAAGGCTTCAGACCAGAAAACTGCCAAAACTTCTGCTTTCTTAGAGGTGCTCAGACTTGCTGATGATCAGTTAATCAAAGGCATTTGGTTAGCAGTGCCTGATAACTTACCCTCTTAATTTCTGTTAACAGTAATGGGGTCCTAACTTAGTCACACATGGCTTTTCCATTTTGGCATTTCAACATTTGAAGTGGATCAAAACCTTTCATCAAAGTTGTCCTAAAACCTAAAACCTTGTCTTAGGACAACTTTGTTTCACTTTTTTTTTGATCCACTTCAAATGTTGACTACTGTATGTGTGTGTGTGTGTACGCCTGAAACTCTTGCACTTTCTAAATGTTAAGGAGTGTCAAATATTTCTGTTTGTTTCAGCATTCTGACCGCCAACATTGGCTCAACCAATGGTACAAGTTTGGAGTGCGACTATCTGTTTGTCCAACCACTTGAAGATGGAAAACCCGGAAACCTGACCTAAAACCTTCATTATTTTTGCACTTCCGTTTGGTGACAGAAATGATACACATCACCATTGAGCTTAATGAAACAATGCTGCTGCTGTTCCTGTGTGTAAATCGTAAGCGAGGCATAAATGAGTAAGTGAATATCATCATAATCAGTATTGTATTTGCACAGAAGCAAATGAAGCTGCTTATTGGACACTGTGTAGCCAAGCATCCGTCACACACAAACACACTCATCACTAACCTGATAAGCATCTATTCACAGTAGATAGGGGGGTTGTCATGGGAACAGCATAACCTCAAGTGGTGAGTTAACTTTAATAATCTAAACGCCCATAGACTAGTAGTGTTAATGGACTCTCTCACTTAGTCAAAGCCAAAATGCACTATGCAGCACACATACATATAAGCCCTGTCCTTCTGTATTTACGGTTTATAAAATGGAAAGTTCCAGCGCTCATTACTTAATAAAAGCACTCTAGAAATGATAAAACATGCAATATACAGTTATGACACCAAATATCTGTTTATCTAGATATTTAACCTTGCCAGGAACTATATCTTCCAGCAGAAGGATAAAACCTAATGATTTGGTTAATAAAATAATTTTAACTAATATATGTTTTATTGTGTTGGCAAATGCTATGTTGGCGAGGGCATCTCATTTCAAATATTTATTCTGAACATGTGACTCTAAAATAAATGTGAATGGATCCATTTTTAGTAACCGTTAACTATTTATATTGATTTCTTTGTGGCAAAGTCATAGCAGATATTAAAATGTGTAATCTATTTATTTTTTGTAATGAATAGAACTAAACTGATCAAAAATATATAGAAAGCTAAAAAAGAACAGCATTTATTTAAATAAGTGTTATATTTTGTAACATTAAGAATATATTACTGTCACTACTGTCACTGATGAATAAAAATAATGATGTTAAAAAAGTAATAAATTAAATTAAATTAAATTACATAAAAACCCTAAACTTTTGGTAGTTTCACGGTTTCCACAAAAATGTTAAGCACCATAATTTTTTTTTTCAACATTAATAATAAATGTTTTTTAAGCACCAAATCAACATATCAGAATTATTTGTTTATGAAAAATGATAATGATGAATAAATGACATTTTAAAATATATTCAAACAGAAACCCGTTATTTAAAATAACTATAAAAATAGTTTTTAATGTACTTTTGACCAAATAAATGCAGCCTTGGAGAGCGCAAGTCTTCTTTCAAAAACATATTTACTTTATTCTCTTCAGAACTTTCACTGACTCAAATTTGGGATCAGATCGGACAGGAAGTAGAATATTATGGTGAAACTTTCTGGAATCTCTGACACCAAGCCTGACTGTACTAGATGTCCAATGCCACCTATTGGCCAAAGCTTCATAAAAATGGACCAAAACTTGTTATAACTTTGGAATCATTTTGCCCAAATCTTCATGTCTATTACTATGGCCATTGGTTTTTTCAAGATTCAGTTTGCAGATTTGCTTACTGTTTTTCTATAATTCCAAGTTACTAATGAAGATGCCGAGGAGGAAGTCGTCATTTTGGAAAAGCTTCTATATTTTGACAAGAAATGCATTATTAATGACACATAGTTATCAATAGAAAATTGATTTGAGAATACCATGTGAATTTGGCCACAGCGCCACCTACTCTCAATAAACTGGCCATTTCTCCAGGGTGTTTCCGTGTCTACTGTGGCAAGAGATGCATCCCACAACCCTAGTCCATACAAACAGTTAAGAAAATGAACGAATGGAGAGATATATTACCTTTATGTGTTTGACATGTTTACTTTCCATAATATGTATTATTACAATTTCCTATGGCTTTCATATGAGTGTAATGTTTGCATAGACTTTCCCTTTGTATTCAGCTACTTTATTTTCTAGTAAAGGTACCACTTTCATTTTCAAGACTGTGAGAGCCAACGTAATTCAACTGATCACACGTTTTCTCAAGTAGTTCATCAATCTCCAGGTCTTCATTGATTTACAACCTGCTGGGTCCTCAGGGGCCTTTGAGATGGGTATATCAGCACTGCCACACTTAATATATACGTCTATATATAGACGACAGCATTCCTCTCAGTCCTGTGGCTTTGAGCCGCCAATCCTCACATCTGATTTACAACCGAACACACACACACAGACAGACAGAGCAGTGCTGTGACTATTAATCTCATAATATCATAGATGTTTACCTAGATTAACTTTCACTGGCTACAAAACAAATAGGTGTTGCTGGGATTGCAAAAACAGGATTTTCTGCTAAATCCACTAAAATATTTAGATACTCCATTACTATCATGCCACATGAAAATAAACTGCTGAATTTTATTTGAATGTTTCTGCATTTCACGGCAGTCAGTATATTGTTTTGCAATAACCTAAAGTTGGTTAATTTAGTTCTGTAACTCTCTGCATTTATGTAAATGCAGTTAATCATATATTTAAAAAAAAAAGTTTTTAAACTGCAGCAGTAATTATTTTGTTTTTGTTATCGTTTCGTATTGCAAGATTGTGTTTGCAGTAAACACTGCAGGTGTTATCCAAGTTACAAACAAGAAAGTGCAACCTTTATATGCTCAGTCACAGATCATTCCATGTTTCCAAGAGATTTTAAGTTCATGTTTTGATTTGGATGTGACCAGACATGATGTTGTCCGAGTGGGTGATTTATTTGCTTTGTAATTATTCTATGCATTTCCATCAGCTTGACCCATTTTGGCTGCAAGCATGAAGGCAGGCATTATATCATTGAGAGGGTAATCAGCAAATAATATCATTCAATCCCTTTTTTTTTACCCTACATTTTGCAGTTACTCTCTTCACACTCAC